ATTAACACCCTGGACTTGCTTAGCTCAGCCTCTCCCTGTGACCCCCTCTCTGTCACCAGAGGAATCCTCTATTTACCACTGAAGAATCCTTCTCCTTCCCATCCCAGGGCTTATATATCTAAGAACGAATGACAAACATAATTAAAAGATTTTTTTATTAAAAATTGACATATTTATACATTTGTACATTCCACATACTGCTGTATATGTTCACCAACATAACCATTAAGTCAGAAAGCCTTAACAGTACAGATTTCCATCGGAACAAATTTACTGCAGGGGAACTTCAGTGTTGCAATCAATCAGACATTACAGAGTGTCATTCACTTTTTCTATTTTTCATTTTCCCTTTAAAAGTAGCAGCACGTTTAATTATCAGTGTCGACAAGGCATAAGCCCCGAAGTGTTGTACAGCATGAGAAAAATTAATTAGTAAATACAGGCAACAGGAGGAGAGCTCACAATGAAAATGTCTGAGTTGGTGCCTATTACAAACAGCAGGATGTTGATAAAACAGAGCAAAGCTGAACAGACTGCAGCAAATTGGGGAGGCTAATAAAACATTACTTTTTGATACAACTGCATAAAATATTTTTGTAATGTCACTTAAGAGTCCTGCAAAGAGGAGATGCTGCTAGTCAGGATAATGCTTGTGTGTTCAAACACATACTGAAGGTCCCCATCAAACCCAGACGTGCTCCACCCCCACCCCCACCCTCCCACAGCTGACCTCACTGGGGTTTCCTGTGGTTGAAGTGATAAAGTGACATTTTATCAGACAGATGTGCCCAGGAGTCCACCCAGGACTCTTGCAATCTAAACTCCTGTTAGTTAAGTGCTAGAAGAGTGACATTAATCAGGTGACAAAGGCTGGCAAGTTTTGGGAGATTGGGAGCAAAGAGAGAAGTTCTCACTGTAACCCAGTCCTGTGCACACCCGAGCCACCACCCCACGGGCTGCCTGGAGAAGTCAGCTCATAGCTACCTGTGCTGCACTCTGTGTAACAAAACCCAGAAAATTTCTCCAGAAATACTGGAAAAAATTGCTTATTTTCTCCTGACTTTGAGATCAGTACTCTTGTAACATTAACAATGTGATAACTTACCCCTTTACACTACAGAAATGAAGAGCCAACCATTCTTTCTCATAAATGTACAGCAATTAATCTTATTTCCAGTGGAGTGCCAGATGCTGGGCAGTTTTTTCTCATTAGCATTTTTCCTCTCTTTTTGACTTGGAGAAGGGAAAAACTGTCTGTGATGACACCTACACATCACAGGTAATTTTTTATGTGAGGCAGCATGGAGATATGAAAGAATAAGAAAGAGTTTAACGAGTGTTTTTTGTACATATCAGTGACTGTAACAGAGGATGGCTGAAAAAAGTCAGAGGTATAATATTTCTGTAATGCTCCATGTTAAGCACACGTGCCTCAACATCTGCAAAAATATCTGTGTGAGAGACTGATCTCACTTTTTACATCCTGAATCACAGATACACTGCCACAGTAGAAAATCCCCATATATCTGCACTACTGCTTTGGTTTTCACCCAGAGGAAGTTGGAGGAGACTCATCAGAAAAAAAAAAAAATAGAGATAAATGACAAACAAGTAATTTAGCAAGACCTAAATCCACACTGAAAGAATCTCCTCTCTACAAAGGCAGGTCTAAGACATCATGCTCCCTAACTGGAGAAGAAGAGATTATGTCAAGCTTAAACTCTCAAAACCCATTTAATTTCCAAACAAGGATGGTCAAAGAAATATTCTCCTCTGCTGCCCCTCCTCCTCCACGTGCCCAGCCAGCAGTTAATAAGCCACTAGCACTCATTCCCTGCCTGCTCCTCTGGCCATCATACCAGATGTACTTCCCACAGGAGCTGGGCTGTCCCAGGGCTTCAGGTGCATAAACCAAGAAGGAGCAAATAGCACCAAAACAGGAGGAGGAATGAACTCAGGTTCTCTTACTCAAGGGGTGCTGCTGTTGTCCTGCCTAAGAGAATTTCAAGGCAGGCACCACTCATGAGTCCCCTGGTGATGTAAGTACAGGACACCCCACACCACTGACAGAGGCTGTCACCTCCTTGGGGTGAGTGCTGCCCCCCTGGCTGTGTGCACCCTGCAGGAACATCCCCCACCTCCCTGCTGAGCTCTTGCTCTACCTCACTTTTCTTTTTCCCCATGGGATTTCTATATTAATTCATCCAAATGAATTCTAGTATAAAATTTACTAAGGAAACAGGTAACGACGCATTAATTGAATATCAGTATTTTTTCCATTCCAAATTTCTGGGGGACTAGAAGAATTTGATCCCCCAGCTTAAATATTAATCACCCTTTTGGTCAGCTAGGACTGCAAATATGCTACCCTGTGTTACTCTGATTTCTGTATGTACAATTATTGTTGCTGCTGCATTTTAGCCAAAGGACAAATCTGAAAAGATATCAAATCTTAATAAAGAATTGTTTAATCTTTTACAGACATACCTTTTCATGCAATAACAATTAAGACTTCTCTTATTGTCTGGAATGATACAATCTCTATTCCATTGCAACACTAGTTGACAGTAGGCTAAGTTCATCTGACCTAGTGGCTAATATTGGTCTTCATCATGGAGAGTGGGCTCCAGTCATGGAGGTTTGGGGCCTCCTAATTAGATAGGAACAAAGAGCATACTGAGAATGCTTGCAGCAAAAGAAAGTCTCTCTTAGGAACTGCATGCTGCTGTATGTAAAGGCTCATCAGGTCTTTGTGAAATCACTTCCTCTCTACCAGCAAATCTTCTGAAGACCAGGAACGAATTTCTACCACAGATTTCTCTGTCACCATTGGCAGTTGTATACACAGTGCCTGAAAGCCAGGAATACAAGACACAGAAGAGTCACTTAGGCCAGAATTAAGTCAGAAATGCTCAGGTTTGTCTCTTTTTGGAGGTGCCTTTCACTAACCATGGCTTACGTGTCTTAGCAGAAAGCATTACAAAATTCCTTACCTGGATTTTATTTATTTTTCAGAACCCACCACAACAGCTGTACTTTTCTAACTTCAAACCCTGCAAAGAGAGAGATCCAAAGGTCTTTTGCTTCAAAGACAAAGAAATTGATAGTTTTATCCCTGGATTTAGGCTGGTTGCTCCTCCCTGAAGGCAGCACTATGCTTACCAGGCTGCTCCATAAGCCAACCCTTCTGTATGAGGAAACCTCTGCCAAGACTGCATCTAGAAGATCCCACACAGTTATCCCCTTTTACTGAAAGTCTCCACTGATTTGGGACACTGAAACAGTGAGGAGCTGTAACACAGAAACAATCAGGGCAGTAATGCAAAGGGTGGTTGTTCCTTGAAAAACCTTAATTTACAGAATGTTCTAGAGAATATAACAAATCCAGTACCCCTGTAGTGTGCCTTTGTGGATTTATTCCAAATTAGATATCCTTTCCATGATTGTGATTGCACAAAGTCATTCCCAAGTACTAAACCCTGTTCTTGTGGAGCTCCAATCTGCCTAAGTTATCTTACAGCAGACATTTAGCACATAACCTGTACACTTAGGTATCAGCTACACCTTCATCCTCCAAAGAAGTTCTAGAATAAGATCAATTTATTCAACTGTATATACAGTATATTTGCATATTAATAAATAAATCAATATTAAAGTTAAGGTCTCTTCCCCCATATAAAAGTGACTACAGCCTGACTAGACAATTTGACTTAATTTTCTTTGGTTTTTTTTTTTCTTCCAAGCAAACTGTGTGACTGAGGCAATCAGTTTCCACTCAGTTTATTACAGTAACTGTAGGGGCAGAAACCTAACAGACCAGTGCTTACATCTAAATTCTGGGGGTGGGAGGGGAAGTACTAAAAAGTGCATCAGAAGTCAACAATTTGTAGAGCAGAAACCAAGTTCATAATGTGATCCTAGGGAAAAGAATCCAGCCCAAAAGAGGCCATTCTGCAGCAAACATTACAACCAACACACATTTTTGTCTTGACAGCAAGCTGCAGGATGCCAGTCTTGTCCCAGTCTTGTCCTGTGCTGTTCCAAGAATTCCAGCTCCAGTAGATGCCATCTCCACCTCTACAAATGCATCGACACCACATTCAGTGCAAAGTGACGTTTCTTAGAGTAACTGTTTGCCTTGTCTCCATAACTTTGATCCTTGCTCTGAAGCAGAGGCTCATTTTGTTTATTACTATGTACAGCAGAGCCTATATTTGCACCTCTCCGTTCCTGGTAGTGAATTTTCTATCTACATTCATTAGAAATGACAAAGATAAGTGGTGATGTTTCCTATTTACCAGAAGTCTTCCCATTAACCCAGGGACTAGCTGTTCATCTTGATTTACACCTAAAGTAGCTGCACTTGGTTCTCTTCTCCAGCTCGCTTTCAGAGGAGTGTAAGTCACGGGAGCCTGGGGGAGCAGCAGCTATTTCAAGTCTGATTGCTGGAGCTGGCAGGATGCTGAGTGGTGTTGGAATTCGGCTGCCTGTTGGCAGCACAGTGTGTGTGGACCACGCCCCCGTTTGGGTACCTTACAAACACAGGCTCACAGAAGGGGTTTTGGCACACCTGACACACCTTCGTGTCCGAGAGAACAATTGGGGTTCCTTTTTGTTTGACCTAAAGAGAGAGAAAAAAAAGAATCCAAACATAAACCTAGTAAGAAAGGAAGGGAAATTATGAGACATATAATTTAAACTGTACCAAACAGACAAACCTGGTCAATGATAGAGGTAGCAGGAAAAGACAGCTTGACTATTTTACTTGAATCCAATTTCCACATTCACACTCATTCATTTTCATGCTTCCTCTTAAGTGCTGCCTTTTTTCCCTTTTTTTTTTCCCCTTCTTTGTTTCTTTGATAAAAGAAAAGCACTCACACATTTAATGTAGCTAAAAACTCAACATAGCTTCCTAAACAAGGTCCCAGGACAAGTCCACAGCAAACTGAGCACTGATGCATTTTTTTTATTCCAGACAAGATTCTGCTGGATAAACAGTCATTAGAACTAAACAGATTTAAGAATCTGCTGGGAACTTGAAGCACCATAGCTCTAACTAGAATGGAAGAAAGCTTCACAAGTGAATTTACCACTGACAAAAGCTATTAACAAACTTCAACTAATACTAAGTGCCAGGTAAACTTTTTTGCATATTCTGACAGGTGTCAATCTTAGTGAAAAAAATGCTAGCTCACATTTATTACAGTTTCTGTGACTTCATTAATCTGCAAGTCCCAGATTCACTTTCATTCAGCCTAGAAGTTCAAAGTTGTTTCTATTTCAAGGCCCACCCTTTGTCTTTTGTTTTACAGAGAAAGCATAAAATTAAGTTTGAATCTAGTGGTCATGGCAAAAAAAATCTAATAAATGCAGCAAATAAAATTGCCAAAGAGAGGAAGACAAGTTCATTCTAATTTTTCAGACTTCTACTGATGATTATCTATAAACGGACTTAACTGTAAAGCTTCAAAGTGCATCTACTTAAAAAAAAAAAACAAACAACACAACCAAGCCATTCTCAAACCAAACCAAAGCACAAAGCCCAAGCAACCTACCTTCTCATATTTGTAGATTAAGTTTTCAGCTTGTGCTAAGCCAAGAGCAGCCTGAGTCATTCTTCTGGTGTGAACGCTTTGCCTCACTGCTCCCGCCAGGAACGGGGAGAGGAGCTGCACGGACCAGCTCTCAGGCACCACCTGCAGAACTAGAGCAGCATCGAATTCGGCAGGGTGCCTGTTGAGGAGATCCACAGCAGGCAGGAGGAGGGCACAGTCGGGGCTGCCGGGGCCGAGGTACACGGAGAGCAGCATGTGGAAGAGCCTGCGCCGGTAGCGCGCGTCCCTGCGCGCCGAGCTCCACACGCAGTACTCCTCGGCAGCACCAAAGTCCTGCAGCTCGTGCACCAGGATCTGCAAAGCCTTCTCGTGCTCCTCCAGCTTTCCATACAGAATTGCACTTTCCATGTGAAGGTCTGTGCCCTGGATTTTGTCTGTTAAACGAGAAACAAGGCAATGTTTGCTCAGTGGAGAGGACGACTGCTCCCTCTCCTCGAGTCCCTGTGAACAAGCCCACAGAATTCAACTCCTGCTGTTTTTGCAGAGGTGCTGGCAGCTATAAAGAGGACAGATCATGGATGTTTATAAGTACAGGA